TTCTTACTTCCTCATCGCCGCTGCAGGCTCGGCCATGCAGACTATGTCGTCGAGGTCGCACCAGGTACTGGCACGAGATCTAACCTCAGGTTACTCCCCACACTAATGCACGCCTATATTTGTAATTCACATGCGCAATAAATTTCCGCAAATTAACCACTCAATTATATACGCTGAAGATGATATAGGTCTTGTTTACATGTAAGAAGTATTTCAGTGACTCAAAAATGGGAATTCCGAAAAAATTTTGAGACGCCCGCGCAAATTTGTTCTTACTGTGCCATCCGCAAGTATATTCGTGCTCCGCCAAATTTAACTTTATTACCATATTCAATGAGGGCTGGTACGCCTCCTTGTAAGGTCACGTGAAGATATGGTCATTTTTTTCGGTCGAAGTGCATAGCCTGTAGAGTAGTTAATAAAACGAATGATGAATCCCCCTATTGCCATTCGAATTGTGGTGGGTCTTTTGCATTAAATAATGCACTTCACACGTTTGTGCAAATCAAAGATGGATAATTTGCTGTAAAATCTACGCCACGAATAATATTCAGCAAGTATTATGGCTAACTATACAACATTACTAGGCCGAGCCCGTTAATATTTTTCTCTCGCTTTTTAGTACCCTCTTACAACCCTACTAATGAGTTGTTTGAGGGTGGTGCTGGCCTCTGCCGAACCGAAGAGGTTGAAGTGGTCTTGGAGGCGGATCGTACCAGGCGAACCCAGTTTCCTTATGGCTTTAGTCTCCAGGCGCTGTCCCCCCATACACGCAACGATGAGCCGCTGTCCACTTTCCCCGTCATTACAAACGTGATCCCCTCCGGACCCGCCTACCAGTAAGTAAACTGCGAAAAAAAATATTTTTATATAATTTGTAACTTGAAGCAATTGATGCTCGGATATTGAAAAGTACCCAAATAGGAAAGAATAACTATTCTAAAAGGATAAATATTTATCAACGTAAGCGTTGTCTCTTGGTTTGTTTTTAAGTAGATCTTCCAATTGCAACAACAAAATTCAAGTTGACGGCACTCCAATAAACATTTACATCAGATTAACCGGCCAACGTTTTTTATCAACCCCTATTCTTCTGCTTCAAATTGAACCTTACAGCCTAGTAATATAATTGCATCTCACCATAACTTATGGGAAGATGGGCAGAACAACCTTATCTTCAACATTCCTGTGGACGCTTTCCCAGCACATAAATACGGAGGTCATGTTGTGATAGTAAACCGTCAATCATACGTTTGTTTCTAATTTGTGTCAGAAGCAGCACTGGGAAACTACAAACAGACGTAGGGGTGTTTTTCTCGTACACTGCCGTTCACAATAGGACTATATCGTGCTCTTCTAGGTAACAGCGTTGAAAAATTATCGTAGAATACTTCTATAATTTGCTTGGAGTCGAGCTAAACAACTGCCTGGTGGCGTCAATAAAGCGTATTGACAATGCTCTGCGCCCGATACCGCCTCCAAGCTTCTTGGCTCTGCCTTGTCATCGGGCGCTGTCGGCAGATGGGAAGCGAGATTGCGGTATACTTATAAAAAATCAAGTATCCCTTAAAATTAATTCCCACGCAAGTCACCATGATTGCTTTGAGCCTGCTATAAAATACGCGGTGGACATCCTTGAACTCGACGGCTGGACTGCCATTGTCAATCATCTTTCCACCGTCACAAGATCAAATTCCTTTTAGAATATGTATCTCGACGTTTTGAGAATTCTTGTCAATGCAACGAATGCGAAGTTAACATACTTAATAGAGCGAAGTCCAGATAATCACGCCACCTACAAGCCACTGTGTTTTTCTCTCAGTAAAGCGACTGGAATATTTGCTTAAATCTTTGGGACATGTTTTCCCTGTTAAGTTGGTAGCACGAAAGCAGTGTGCATGCTGATAGAACTACTTATCGACAAAATTAATATTAAACAGTATTGAACCGATTGAACTCATCAAACTTAACGCTAAACGATATCACAATACTGTACTAATGCACGAATTGCAGAGGCAAGAAAGTTTACCAGTGACATATATGTGTAGAAAAGGTTCATTTTATCTACACTGACATGTTCTCCTCACAATCAAAATTTATCAAATACGTTTTCCGTGTTCGTTTGCTTCATAGAACAGTTTGCCTACGTAGACTTCTAGCATGTCATATTTGAGAACTTCAGCACTAAAGGTCCGTATCTTAACTGTACGTTTCTTGCTGACTCTGTCCTTAAAAGCCCAATATTAGTAGACGTCTTTTGGCGAATTTTGAATATTAAAAAGAAACTGCATAGTATATCCCGTTTTTCGGCTATACTCTCCTTATTTCTTTGTTGCTGAGCGTACATAGCCGTCTTGCGTAAAATCACAGTAAGTAAATCAGTTGAGTATTTTGAATTTTCCTGAAAATAAATGACAACAAAATCTACCACATGCCGATTCGTTATCCCAGCACCATCCTCACCTATCTACAAAGAGCCCTTTAATATTATTTTATCGCTACTTCTGAGGTGAGATTTAGTAACTTCCTACCATATATTGTCTCCAGCGTTTTAAGCGGCTGTACCATGAGGTGGTGATCCCTGTACTTGTGTGAGGCACTAGGACCATCGTGTCGACCACAAAGAAAGCGCAAAGGTGAATTGGACGTGAAATAATCCATATTAGGGCTCACCTACTTTGCATCTATCGCACTAACTCCCTCAGCACCCGCCTCGTTCTACGAAAAATACACTTCCATGAGGACTAGACGTGGACGCGAATGCTCAACAACCACTCTACGCGTGCCTCGTATGGCCTGATCTCAAACGCACTTGTTGGGTTATTATGAGAGTGGTTCGAATTACACCCAAATTTCAGTTGCATAAATGTCGCGCCAACTTGAGTCATTGCAACCGTATTCTCACTTTTTCCAGACACGCCGAACAGTCAGTAGCAGCCTTCTACGTTTTGGTATTGAACGCACCAGATTTTGTATGGTACGCATGTATCGTGAAGTTGGATCTCGCTCCCCCATTTTTTTCATACGCCTACAGACCTTTCAGGTGTGTAAATTAGCTACTGGTGGGATTGAACAAAGCGAAACAATCCATGTATGTGTTCCCCCACGCGACCTGGTGCCCGCTCCATGCACCAAATTATATCAAAGGGAATATTCCTATTGAAGTGGGATGTGCATGTCCCGACAGGCGATGTCTCGGCCGAGATAACAACAGTGACAAAGGGCTTTCGCATATTTTTTGTGCAGGACAGACGCATAGTGTTACGTCGGTGGCGTGTGTGTGTGTGTGTGCATGTGTTGTTGGCGTGGGTTCACACGTACCCTCGGAAGCCGCGTCGCGATGATCAAGTCTGGACTGCAATTGTGTGCGTACAAACTTTGTGAAAGCTCGCATCCAGAAGTCGAGTTTGGCGAGCGTACGTATACTTTCGATAAATTCTCTTCAGGTCAATACATTTATGTGGGAGGGGATAAAAGTTAAACAAGAGGTTGATAATATTCGTCTTATAAGCTAGCCGTGGGAATCGGGGGAAGGAATCTAAAATAGAAGGACGGTTATGCGGGGAGGGCTTGGCGGAGCCACTCTAAGGAAGGGGGAAGAGAGGGAGGGGCGGGAGACAACCAGAGGGCGGATGAGTGCATGCCGCTAAGTGACTGCGGCATGTGGAGCTTGCACGAAGTTCTTTTGCGCAAACACCGCCGGCTTCATCAACCTGATAGCGGTCGCTTCTGCTCTTGTTAGCAGTCGCTGACCCAGGGACTTTGGATAATTTGGTGGTACCTTATAGATCTTTTGGAAAGCTTTGTTTTGGTCCACCCGATGTCCGGAATCCACCGTGTGCGCCAGAATAGAGCTGTTTGTGCTCCTGAATTCGTATTTTCTCAGCCATGTCGGGAGATGTTCCTTTACGCTTCTTCAAACTCGTCTTCTGAGTTCTCTGATGGGAAACTTCAAACCTCATATTGCCGAATAAAATCATGCGATGGCTGAATTTTCGCGGACAGTGAGGACAGGTGAGGCGGGAATGACAAGATAATACTGGGGCTTCTGGTGCCAGTTCTTGATCATAGTGCAAAAGATTTACAATGAACAAACGAGACTGGAGTTTGATTCAAGGGTCTGTGTGTTGGCAGTTAGGACTAGGTTGCGACTGTATCTATTAGGCTGATAATTCTGGTGACGCTGTTGGTGGATTTATTACTTCCCACGGTAAAGGGAGAATTGAGTGTAGGATGTGAGTGGGTTGTGATGATGATGATGATGATGATGATGATGATGATGATGATGATGATG